AGTGACTTAGCCGTTACCCACAGTTTTTTCGGTTCCAATGTTGCGAGACATCAGAAGGTCCAGTCAATTTTTCCGCTTGTGCTCCTACACCAATCTGTTGATTTCCACTGTCAGCTCACTGACTGCGATGCCATGGTACGTCATTAAAAGTGACGGCAGTCCTATCATCCTTTTTCCCAGGATTCGAGAGTGACTTAGCCGTTACCCACAGCTTTTTTACATCGGTTCCAATGTTGCAACACCATCAGTGTTGGCTAGACTCACTTTTTCCACATGTGCTCCTGAACCTACCTGTTGACTTCCGCTGTCAGCTGGCTGACTGACTAAATATGGGATCAGTAGGTTCTATATCCTGTATCACGCCATTGAATATATTTGTCCAAGTTTTCGAATAGCCCTCATATAACGGTATTCTGACGATTTGGGCCACATTAGCTAACAGAATATTTAGAAGACGTTTTACCAACCAATTTCATTGTCAAAATTGGAAGTGGGACCCACTTCTATTCAATCCATATACTGTTATTATCAAATATTTTCTTTACCTCATTATAGAGGTCATTGAAAGTTTGGCTCGGAAAGTTCCGGAAAACTACTCTACCTTTTCTTGGGATTAAACCTGTGGTGTGTTGGGTAGCTATATACTTTAAACCATGGTAAAATTAAGAAGGTAAAGTCATTTCAAATAAGCATTCCCATCTTTGCATTTTCTATAATTTAGCTTACCAAATTTCACTGCAGGTTCCAATCTATGATTTGTGTATGTAAAATTAATTTATGAATATATATTTAAAAAAAATTGTAAACATATGATTGCATGACTTTACCTTCTTAATTCTACCTTGCAATATACCTAAAAATATAAATAACAAGCTATTTAGAATTGTATCATCCAAAACTTTTTCAGAAATTATCCACAATCTGAAATCAATAATATTATTTGAAAAAAAGTATATCCATTCAAATTTCCCAAAAAAAGTCTGTCTTTGTTTATTTTCAATATTAACATAAAGCTGCTACTGCTAAACTGATTCCAAAAATTTCACTTTTTTCAATGAATATTTATGGTGTTTCGATACACTAATATACCATAATAAAGGAACTAGTCGCTAATTATTCTGGGAATCACAAACTCGAACAAAAAATTCACAAAAATTTTGGTAGCAAACAAAGCAGAACTAATGATGGTTAGTTCAATCAGATGACGTCTGTCATAAATATTGAATATTTTCTTTGTTGTTTTTTTTTTTGCTTTTGGTCGCCAACCGTTTGCATTGATGTGAAATGAAAATGCAAAGTCATTAATTAAATATTCAATAAATTTTGATTGAGATGAGGCGATGGGTAAAATGAGTCCGGTTAAATTATGGGGAAAAATTATCTAATTGGATTTTATCAACAAATATTTTATAACTAGAACCTGACGTGTAAAATGAAAGCTAATTATTGTCCAAACTTCAAAAAATCCAAAACTTTTTGGGAATTTCCTATCTTTCGAAGTCGCATGACTAATTTTAAACTGCTAATATCGTCTCTTAAACCCATAATATTTTTGGGAATTTCCATGGTAGAATGAATTATTTGACAACACCACAGTGTCAAAATGTATATTTAAAAGTGCATTGTTTATACACAAATCAGAGATGGGAATCTATTTTATATGCAGGGAAATTTGACAAGGTTACCATGGGAATGGTAATTACCATGGGAATTTCATTAAATTGCCTCATTATTACCATGGATCACATGATTATTACCTTGGATTTCATGATTGTTCTCACAGGTTATAAAAACCAATTTTAATTCTTTGTTAACTTAAAAATAATAAATTAATTAGTATCGATGAAGATGAGTAATGAGTAAAATCTCTGGCTCAAAAGTCATTTTTCCTTTTCTTCTTTTTGATACCTATTCGTTCTTGACATTTTGTATTATTTTACGTCCCCTTTAATTTTTTTTTATATTTTATTCTCTCAGAGGGTCTTAAAGGATTACAACTCTGCTCCTTTACAATGTTCTTAAAGAAACATAATCAACTACCCTATAGATCGTATAACTACTGTCACAACGTATACGCCACCATGACCCTGCTATTATTTTTAAACACAACATCTAAACCAACAACTGTCCTTTTCATCCGAGCCTCGTTTTTATTTATTTTTATTCTAAACAGATATTAGTTTTACATTTTCATTCAGGTGCTAATAGTCGTTTTTGGTGCAGCTGGTTGCATTCGGAAGCCAGTAATCAATATTCATTTAGATGAAGAATGGAATTAATGCAAAAAATAAGTGAAAACCAGTAATGTATTTATTATTCACCATTAAAATGTAATTATTGTTGATAATATGACATTTGTGATAATTTGTGGAACTAGAAAAGAACACAGATGGTGGAAAACGACAAATTGGTAAAAAGAATAATAGAGCATAGATAAACCAATGTATGTGAGATAAAGCAATGGAAATTGTACTGTTACGGGGGTAAGGCTGTTGTGGCTTGAAATCGAAATCAACGTTGAAAACTTTAGTCTTCGAGGAGATAATATTTTGCTACTTTAAGCTGAGCCAAGTAAAAGTGCTGATCGACATCTGGGAAATCTATTATTTATTTAGATAACTGTTCACGAATAAGACAACATGTTTTCATAATAAAAGAGAATAGAGGGCCTAACTAGTGCAGACTCATTACAAATAAATAAGATAGACTTCTTCCTATGATACAATGAAATAAAGGTAACCTCATTTCAAATTAACATTCCCAGCTCTGCATTTTCTGTAATTTACCTTGTCAAATTTCAATGCATAAAAACAGTTCCCATCTCTGATTTTGTGTGTATACAATGGATTTATGAATATATATATTGACAATGAGATGTTGTCAAATGTGTAAATTAAAAAAAAAAAATGGTAAACATATGTTTACTTGACTTTACCTTCTTTAGTTCTACCATGCTTTTCCCATTTAGTCATATTATAATTAGTAGTTCTTTAGAAATATTTTTAATAAATAAATTAGTGTCCTATAACCACTCAATCAAGAAAGACGATCCCAGCCTATCATTGGTCCTTCGAGCCGGATAGTGGAGAAAAAAAATTCCGATTAAATGTTGAAGAATTTGCCTTCACGAAATTTTGTCAGCTAGGCTAAAAAGAGAGGGTTTCATATCTGAGATCTTCAGACAGAAGAGGTGAGGCTATAAGTCAATTTCCCTCAGGAGGACGAGTCGGTGAAATGGCTGCCACTGACGATGTTCGTGAAAGGAATCAACCAAGTACAGGAGTCATACAATGTCTGCAATGAAGTTGGGCATAAGATACTCGTTGTAGTTCTTTAGAAATATTTTTAATAAATAAATTAGTGTCTTGCAACCACTCAACCAAGAAAGACGCATTGTCTTTAAAAAGGATCCTAATTTAACATTGGTCCATCGATTCGGATAGTGAGGAAAAAAAACATCTTCGCATAAATGTTGAAGAATTTACCTTTACGTCGACGAAATTCTGTTAGCTAGGCTGAAAATTGTCTTCAAGAGTGGAAAATTACCGGATTGAAACTATAGCTGGAAGTTTTCCCATTTATCAGCCAATAAAAATTATGCTGAGTCAGAAAGAAATTTTAGCAAGGAAGACTTAGGTAGCGGCGTCACATTTAACGAGGGGGTTTCAGATCTATGATCTTGAGACAGAAGTCCATTTCGCCCAGGAGAACGGATCAGTGAAATGACTGTCACTGACGAAGTTACCGAAAGAAATCACCGTGTCTGGAGTCGTACAATATTGGCAATGAAGTTGGACACAAGTTGTCGGAATGGCGAAAGTTCTTTTCTATGACACCAGTGAAATCTTTTTTATGAAAGGGAGATCCATGCTAAAGAAATTGCGAATTACCGCTTCTGTCTAAAACATAAAACAGACAAAAAATGTTTCCAAATGTGCAATCTAAGCTTTGGGTAATGAACGGATGACAGTTGAAGATGTTAACAAATTAAAAAAACAGTAATTTCGGACGGGTTGAAATTTGAATACCTTCGACCATTTGGAACGAATTTGGAAATTTCCAAAACTAGACTCGCATAGGCAATTTTCTGTCACAGGCCATCGTTCCCATATCGAAGTGCTAATACGAAATTTGAAACAATTCCGGAGAATAATGTAGTTAAAATCATCAAAATGCCGAATATAGGGAGGTACCCATATTTAGGGGCTATAGGAAGATCTGAACCTGCATAGACAATTTTTTGTTACAGGCTATAGTACCCATTATGAATTTAAATTCGAAATTTGAATCATAAAAATACCAAATATAGGGAGGTACCGTTATATGGAAGCTATTCCAAGACGTGGGCCTAGAGTGATTTCTACAGACGGACAGACAGACGGTCATCGTTAAATCGACATAGAATTTTATGCGATCAAGAATATATATGCTCTGTAGGATCTAAAATCTATATTTCGAGGTGTTACAAACCTAATATACACTCCATATCCTCCATACTAAAAGGTTATATTCTGACTCTAACCCCACCTCTATTTTTAATTTCGCGAGGATCGGCCCACAATTGCGACATGTAGCGTTATTACAAATTAATATAGACAAACGGACATACATAGCTAGATCGACTCAGCTCGGCGAGATAGGAAGATCCATATATAGTTTCTTATGTCGGAAACCACTATTTTGAAGTGTTACATAATTTTTGGGTGATGAGCAAAACTTCAAAAAACAAAAATTGAGGGGATAAGAAGTTGAGGTGAAACCTTTATTTTGGGTCACATATGGTATACACAAATGCTTATGTACTGTGGGTGCGGAAAGACACAATTTTGTTTCCAACAATTACAATTGGTACTTCAAATCTATGAACCCAAAACAGTCACCATTAGCCTTCTCTTCAATATCAGTTTCTTAAAACCATGACAAACCTTTTTTCTTCCCAATTTTATCTTTGTTATAAGTCTTTAGCCCCAATCGAACTTAAACCATTTCATCAGACTTACCTTGGTACCGTAATAAACAATTTATTATTCCATTTTTCCACGCCCAAGGGTAAATTATTTTCAACAACATAATCTCCGCTTGCAATTGCATCTTTTTCAGCCTTTTCAGATGGCCAGTCGAACATTAATTGTTTCCAATGGAATTTTTCTTCTAATTTGGCTTGAACAGCCACAACAACGACGGCCAAAAGGCCCAACAAAAAAGGCAAAAGTTTCATTTTTTTTGTTTTGTATTTCTTGTTATATTTAGTTTTGTCACTTCACAACTTCTTTGTTGTTAATCGGATTTAAAAAATGGTTCACTAGGGTCCAGTCTCTTAATTGGCCGTGTATGGAAAAAACAAAGAAAGAAAAAAAAAAACAGAAAGTTTCGCGACGCCTCGTTTGGAAGCTGAGCGTGTTACGTCGTTATCCACGGCTTGTTTGCAACTGTTTGTTCGAAGCGAATGTTTCAAACCTTTTAAATCGTTCTCAATATGTTGGCAACAGAACATGGCTTAGAGAGGGCAGTGTGGTCTGTTTGTTGCCTGGCTTGAAACTCAGTTTCAAAAAATGAGAGCAAGAGCATTCAATGTTTACCGGAGATTCAGTGAGAACAATGAGCAGAGTGTTTTAACCCCAGACACGACGATATGCTGCTGCTGAGACTTTTGTTGTTTTCTTTTCGGAAATGTTGCGGAAACTTGTTTGAACGAACGGTAGTCCGTTCAATGAACATAAAAACTTGACATATCTATATCAGTTTGTTTTACAAGAATTAAAAAGAGATAAAAATCGGATTTTATGTGAAACCAGTTTTGTTAACTAAATGCAAAAAAATATGGAAATGAAAATTAAGAATGAAATATTTAAAAAAAAATAAGTTTATGCTCGTTATTTGATGTTAAAACAATCTGTTTAACAAGAATAGAAAGCGCGAACTTTTAGTTAATGAAATCAAATATACATAAACATTTTAGTTCCTAATTATTTTAAAGCGATAGAGCATTCGTCAAAGCAAGAGTATTACTTCCTCAAAAAAAAAAAAAAAAACCTGGACATTTAAAACAAAACTTAGGTAACTTCTATCTACAGTAGTTTTTCGATTTTACGAACTTTATAATATCAGTACTGTTCCCTGTTTAGAAGTTTCTTAAATCGTTAAACCTCATATTGCAAACCGATGCACGAGATATTGACAGTTAAGAAAATTTCACATTTTTAGCAGGTTTAAATAAGGCTAATCAACTTAGATGGTTGCACTAAACTAATATTGTTTGGGCGCCATTTCTATTAGTTACAGAAAAATAATTACATCACTGGAACTTAAAAAAAAGTATTCGCGCTGAAACTTAGACCTGTAAGATGCAATTTTTTGGCAGAAGGAAGAACTAGACCGCACGAAAGGAAATTACATCTTACTGCGAAAACCAAAGAAGAACAACCTGAATATTGCTTGAAAACACAACCACTTAATATTTTATGTAAAACAAGTGAAAAAGCTTAAGTTCGGCCGGGTCGAACTTTGAATACCCTGCCCCAATTGGAAAGAATTTGGAAATTTAAAAAAAAAAAAATAAAAATAAATAATAAAATAAATAAATAGAATAAATAAATGAAAAAATAGAATTCGTTATAAATTCTTTTAAAATCTTAAAAATGCCGTATATAGGAAGTTACCGTTATTTTGGCGTCTATATGAAGACATGGACCTGCAATTTTCTGTCACAGGCTGTATTACTCATTACGATATGCAAATGCAAAATGTTAACAATTCCGTTGAAAATGTAGCTAACATCATCAAAATACTGAACATAGGGAGGCACCGATATTTAAGGGCTATACGAAGAGCTGCTTAGATCATTTTCTGTCACAGGCTGTAGTTCTCATTAGGAACTTAAAATACGAAATATGAACACCTTCGGTGAATAATGTCGCTAAAATCATCAAAATACCAAATATCGGTAGGTACCGTATACGAAGACGTGGCTGTAGTACCCATTACGAACTATCATAACGAAATATGAAACAATTCCGGTGAATAATGTCGCCGATATCAGTAAAATACTAAATATAGGGAGGTACAGTTACATGGGTGCTGTACCTAAACGTATACCTATGTAGCCCATTTTCAACACCAAAAGTCCTGCAGATCAAACACACATTTGAGTAAAATTTTATCAACTTACTTCAATTCGTTCGGAAGTTAGAGTGATTTCCACAGAGGAAAATACGGAGAGACAGACGGACGGTCATTGTTAAATCGACATAGAATTTTTTTAAGCGAATCCGATATAGTGCAGACTTTGCTCATCACAATATTTTATCAAACATAGATCCGATTCAAAGATAAAAAATCTTGTCTCTCTCCAATGTACTTTCCAATTTCTTTTGATTCGTTCATGCCGGCTTTTAAATTTTAAATACCCGCTTTCAATGAAAAAATCGAATGTTCCGTATGTCAATCAAAAAACAGTAAAGAAAGTCTTAAAGTCGGGCTGGGTCGACTTTATGATACCCTACACCACTTTGCTAATTTAGTAGAGCTGCACATAACAATTAAAAGTTTTTATGGGAGAGAATTCGGACTTGTATTGCCCATTTGGTGCGCAATTAATTTGAAATCGGATAAAGATATATATGGGAGCTATATCCAAATCTGCACCGATGTCGATAAAGTTTAGCAAAGGCATTTCTGAGCTGTATTTGATATATTTCCCTGAATATCGTTGTTACGGAGTGCATTTTACGGCTGCGGAGGACAAAAATAACAAGTCGGATCAAAAATATATATGGGAGCTATAGCGATATCTGAACCGATTTCGATCAAATTTGACATACTAGCTTCTTGACTCAATTTGGTCGTACGTGCCAAATTCCATCCCATTTGGACAAATATTAGACGTTTGGTGCACAATAAAAGGTAAATCGGACGAAGTTATATATGGGAGCTATATCCAAATCTGAACCGATCTCGATAAAATTTAGCAAATGCATTTCTGTGCTGTATTTGATATACTTCCCCAAATATTGTTGTTACAGAGTGCATATTACGGCTCAATACCAAGTCTTGCATAATATACATTTGAGTAAAATTTGATCAAACTACTTCAATTCCTTCGGAAGCTAGAGTGATTTCCACAGACGGATAGATGGGCGGACCTACCTAAATTGGCATAATATTTTATGCTGATCAAGAATATATATATATATATATATATATATATATATATATATATATATATATATATATATATATATATATATATATATATATATATAATTTAGTTGAGCACCATATAACAATTAAAAGTTTTTATGAGAGAATTCACTTATACACGCTATGATTATAATTATAATTTAAAGTTCAAATAACTAAATATGCCGTAGCATTTGTATCTTTTAAATTCGGACTTGTATTGTCCATTTGGTGTACAATTAATTTGAAATCAGATAATGATATATATGGGAGCTATATCTAAATCTGTACCGATCTCTATAAAATTTGACAAAGATATTTCTGAGCTGTATTTCATATATTTCCCTGAATATTGTTGTTACGGAGTGCATATTACGGCTGTGGGTAACAAATATGACAAATCGGATGAACAGTATATATGGGAGCTATAGCTATATCTGAACCGATCTTCACCAAATTTGACATACTAGCTTCTAGACTCAATTCGGTTGTAAGTGCCGAATTTCATCCAATTTGGGCAAATATTAGACGTTTGGTGCACAATCCAAGGTAAATCGGACGAAGTTATATATGGGAGCTATATCCAAATCTGAACCGATCTCGATAAAATTTAGCAAATGTATTTCTGAGCTGTATCTAATATATTTCCCCAAATATTGTTGTTACAGAGTGCATATTACGGCTGCGGGGAGACAAAAATAACAAATCGGATGAACAATATATATGGGTGCTATACCTATATCTGAACCGATTTCGATCAAATTTGGCAAACTTATTTTCAGGCCTAATTTGGTTGTATGTGCAAAATTCTATACTATTCGGGCTGATATTACACGTTTGGTGCACAATAAAATGCAAATCGGACGAAGATATATATAAGAGCTATATCTAAATTTTGACCGATTATCTCCAATTTCAATAGGGTTCGTCCTTGGACCAAACAAACGATTTGTGCAAAATTTCATCTGGATAGGGCAATAAATGCGAACTGTACTTTGTTTACAAAAATACATGGAGAGACGGATGGACGGACATGCATAAATCGACTCAGAATGTGATTCTAAGCAGATCATCAAAAGGAACTATGGGTCTATCTCGTTTCCTTATGCCTGTTACAAACAAATGCACAAACACATAATACCCTGACCACCTTGTGGTGTAGGGTATAAAAATGTCGTCCCACTCCGATATGTAGATTTACCTCGATTTATCCTCATTCTAGGATCTGCTCTGTGATAGAAGATTAATGATTGGCATGCACAATACGGTACGATGTCTTTATTTGTGATTTCGAAATAATTATCCACCGGTAAATGTCACGTTGGGCGCCAGTACTAGGGTCGTTTTCCAACATCGAGATGCGAAAAATCCTAGTTTCATAATAAATTTTAAATTTCATTTAAAATTTCTTTCCACAGAGGCAATTTGGTTTGGTTTAGCAAATATTTTAATTGCTATTTTATATATTTAAAAGGTAGAGTGGCGTTCTAAATCGAGACCGCTCCATAATTTTTTTCTTTCAAAGACGAGGAGAGGTCTGAATCTCTTGGAGAGTTGGCAAAATGGAAATTGGTCGGTACTCTCTGCACAGACTTGTATAGTAATATACTTTTGGATTGGGCAGAAAAGTATGCAGGGACCTGGACCCGCTATCTGACACACTATCTGATTTGTTGTACATTTTATATGAACAAAAAAAAAAAACATTTTAATGCTGAATGTGAGCTACAATTTTCAAAAAGAAAACCTTCTTCTAAAACTGGCGATGTGGCCTAATATCCAACGTCACATTTCGATGACATGCCGGCCGAAATTCGACAGCTTGATGATTCGAAATATATAAAAAAAAACATATTAACATAAGTCATTTGCCCTGGAAGGCAATGCGGAAAATTAAAAAGCCAACAGCATCTTTCAACGTCATCTGTTTGGTGATCTAAATTAGGACACTGGTGCGGTTATTTTTGGAATGCCCACCACGGAGAGTGTGAACTGATATTAAAAAATCATTCAATATTATATTATTCAAACTAAAATAAAACAAAGATATTAAATTCTCAATCGATTTGTTTGTCGATAAAAAAAATATTTTCTGGTTGCCGTATTATTATTAGATTCATTGTTTAACGTTTTTATGTGGCAATAAAATGCGACAAATTTATGAGCTCTGTTGCAAAATTTGTAAAAGACATTAATGCGATTTACGAAAAAGAAGGAGAAGAAGCAAAAATAATTTTATATGGAATTTTGAAACTGAACC